TGGCTGGAGGAGAGCCTCGGGCACGTGGAGGACGACTACATCCTGTTTGATTGCCCAGGTAGATCCGTGTCAGCGTCTGATATCATTCTTCACAAGCAATATAAGTTTTTCAGTACGTTTCTTTGCTGCTCGCAAGCATTCATACTTTTTTTGCATCATTAGCAGTTGTCAGAGTCACTTTCAGATGTTTTGGAAGTGAACTCGGTCCCAGTGGTGTGGGGACTGCTAACTAACACTAACTGGAGATCAAAAGAGGGAAACAAGCTTTTACTTCTTCTCCACATCACTGGTACAGGTTAACCCAAATACAGTTGGAGTTGTCTGAAAAGAAAGAGGATGTTTTCTTTATCAGTGCAATAATTGGTAACTGTGAACTGTTAGCGTCACATTTTTGCATACTAATGCTTCGCGTGTCCCCTAGGTCAGATCGAGCTCTACACGCATCTGCCGGTAATGAAACAGCTGGTGGAGCAGCTTCAGCAGTGGGAATTCCGCGTCTGTGGAGTTTTTCTTGTGGATTCTCAGTTTATGGTGGAATCTTTTAAGGTATCCATTTGAAATCTGTTGTAAAAGTTCATATTGATAAAGAACAAGAAATCTGAGCAATTGAGGGAGCTGGGTTTGTTTAGCCCAGAGGAAAGAATGCCTACCTGGGGGAGATAAGATTGTTGTTTTCAGCTGCCTCAGACAGAGGTTGCAGCAAAGAAAATTCCAGTTGGATGTAAAGAAAACCTGCACTGCGAGAGTGGTCAGACTGGACCAGGGGCACAGAGAGATTGCGTAGCGTACGTCACGGAGTTACTCAAAACTTGACATGGCAAAACCCCACAGCGACCTGATCTGATGTTGAAGCTGGCTCTGCTTTGAGCAGTGGTATGGAACGGATAACCTGAAAAGTCCCTTCCAACCTAAATTCTTCTGTGATTCTGTGAGAGCTTTCTCACATCTGGAGAGGGAGCAGGCCACTCTCCTCATGGAGCAGTAGGAATCCCAAGATGGGATTTGAGTTTTGTAATGGTCTTTTCAGTGGCAGATCCAGATTTGAGGCTCTGGAGATAAGGTGGCAGATGGGAAGCTCAGCACCTCCCTTTTCTAACAGAGATAAGGACTCCCCGGTTGGCCTTGGGGCCACGTTTCATATATTCATTAGCTGGGTTTGGTCTGCATTTGAGTGTCCTGCATGTTGGTGTTGTGTTTTTTCTGTACTTAACGACATCATTTTTCATCCTCCTTCAGTTTATCTCTGGAATTCTGGCAGCACTCAGTGCAATGATATCTTTAGAGATTCCACAGATTAACATCATGACCAAGATGGATTTGCTGAGCAAGAAAGCCAAGAAGGAAATAGAAAAGTAAGTTCGAAAAAATTAATTACTCTGTACTGTAATATCTTGAGGCAAACTTCACTCAAAATTCAGTCTGTTTCCCACAATTAAAACATTCTCTTTTCGAATTGGAGAAGATGTATTTGTTTTATATCATAGCCTTTAAAGGTCTGGATAGGATGCTTACGGTTTAGTCAGAGTGAAAAGGCTGGCTCCTTGTTTGTACTTCTCTCTGGATTTTTCTGTAAATAATTATCTTGAGTAACTTGCGTCATTCTGAACTACTTTCCAGGGTAGTGTACTTCCAAGCCCAAAGCAGAGGCGATCCTATCAGGTTTTTTGATACCAAACATGCTGAATTGGTTACATGTTACTTGTACATTTGTGCCAAAATTACAAAATTAAACTTTTTCCCTGCGGTCTTCCTCAAAGCTTTCTTGAGTATACAAGTATATTAGTAAAAACACTTCTGTTGTTTCTACGAGCAATCATAATCTGAGATACTTGAAACACTTACAAAAACTATTTCTAAACATTGTAAGTTCTCCTGATATAAAGTTAGTTCCTTCAGATCACAGAAGGACAGATGGTTGTGGTAGTCATGCAAAAGGTGACGCATTTGCTCTGTGGCCAAGGATCCTTTCGATGTTAATGACTTTGTTTCTCCCAGGTACTTGGATCCCAATATGTATTCTATGATTGAAGATTCTACAAATATACTGAAAAGCAAAATGTTTAAAAAACTGACCAAATCGATATGCGGATTGGTAGGTATATTGCTTTTTAACTGGTACCCTTAAATTCCATCCTGTATTTTTAAACCATACTGTATGGTTGCTAGCTTCATTGCTGTTCCAGATACTGTATGTACTATAATAATTCTCCCCCCCAAAAGAAACCCCTTATGTATTTACCAACCAGACTTATTAACAAAGCCAGGATCTAAAAGATTCTCAGGCACTTGAGCATTTTTGCTTTTTGCCAGGTTTAACTCAGCTTTTGATGTTTTCAGATTACCATAAGATTTGTGATACTAACATTTGGATTGTAGCCAGTAAGTTTGCTGTGAATTCTGTTGTACTGGCAATTTTGGAAAACAGCTTCATCTGCTGTGCAGAACTTAGGTGTTCGAGGGGGGAGTTGCATTGGTTTGCAGTGTGGCTTTAAGCGTGTTTTAGCAGTCCAGACGAGCAAGGCATCAGTGTGGCTTATGGTCCTAGGAGTGAGACCTAACTAACTGCATTTTCTTACTAACATCTTTTGAGTCCTTTCTCTAGATTGATGATTATGGAATGGTTCGATTTCTACCTTTTGATCGCTCTGATGAGGAAAGTATAAACATAGTTCTGCAGCACATAGACTTTACCATTCAGTATGGAGAAGATCTTGAATTTAAAGAACCAAAGGTAAGGTACTTCTGAGGATAAGATGAAAAATTAAAAAGGATTCATAATATAAGTTGTAATATAAATAGGGTCTTTGCCTTGCTAATAAATGGTTGTCTTAGTATGGTTCAAAATAAGCTGTTAGTGACAATGCTTGTATTGTGTTAATTTACAATTACAAAAGAGAAATTCTTCAGCACATATCTTGCACCTGCAGACTGTTCAAATGGTTGTGTTTAAAAGTAATGCTTTGGTTTTCAAAAACAAAGGAGTTTTAAACTTCAGAGGTCAGAAGGGACCATTAGGATCACTAAGACTGATAATTCCTGCATTGAACCCATATGTTTTAGATGACATCTAGATTAGGAATAAATTCTACTACATAAAATAGATGATAGGACACAGCTGTGTTAAAATCTGTTCTAAGCACAGTGTAGTTTTATTATTTGGCTCGTAAATCCTAAGGAACAAGTCCAGTGCTTTTATTCCATTTTAAATTCAGTTTTGTACTCTTTGAATATACAGAAGAACCAGATCTAGATTTTGTCCTATACAATTCCAATAGCTCTAGAAACAAATTGCTTTTCAGAAAGTTCTGCTGCATGTTTTATGGAACTATATGAGAGATTGTTCCCGTTATGGTTTCTAAAATAAAGCATCACAGAACAGACAATGTACAATGGCCACTAGGGAAAAGTCAGGTTTTACCTTTTTTGTTTTCTTTTTGGCAGGAATGTGAAGAAGATAAATCTGCTCTAGTGGATGAATACTTTCAAGATCATGTGGATGAGTAAAAGCCAGATACTCAAAAATGGGAGGAAAATACCTTGGTTTTGTTACCAAAAAAAAAGAAGAAAGAAAAGTTTTTTAAAAAGTAAAAAAAACCAAACCCACAAATATACTTGATGTTTTATCTGTAAGATAACTAAAATTTATAGTGAAAAGTGAGCTCTATGACCTCATAAATATTTTAATAAACTATTTTTATTCTTATGGGTGTGTGTTATAAAATACATAGGCTAGCATTAGTACTATATGTGAACATGTACTGCTGAATTTACCCCTCACTGGCTATAGTCCTTTTGTATATACAGACTTCCTGGGCTGTCCGGAGTGTTTCAAAACGTGTTTTACTGCTTCTCCAAAAATCTCTTAGACCAATTTATTAGCTACATTCAGCTGAATTTACTGATGTCTCTCTGCTGCTCGAGTCCAATTTATCAATCTTTCCTTAACTCTGTGGAATGAGATTTACTCAGAGAGTCCTTGAATTAAAATATTTTCCAAAAAGGGCCTCATGGTTATGAAATGCTTAACATTAGTGAATGCCTGTATGTAGGCATATCATCTGTCTGTATATAATACATAGATCATGGATTAGAAATTAACCCCATACTCACAAAATATGAGCAGCCAAGTATTTCAGTAGAATAAGAACAGCTGATGTCATTTTGTAGGAGCAGCTTGGTTAGTTAGCAGATGTCTGAGTGTAAGGATGCTCCTTAACAGAAACCAAATCAAGGATTGAATATTTGGAGGCAACTGCACTTACCTAACCCAGGGTATCAGTAGGGTTGTTCTTCATGCCTGTTTAAATAAAGGGTTAAATGGTTATGTTGTTGATATAGTGCTCATTTTTTAAGAAATTGCTTTTTCCAAAATGGAGGCAGTAGAGAGAGAGGTTCAAATGACCAGCAAATCCTGCATGTCTACTGGAAAAGGGATCCCCAGAATCCCTGTGTGGAGGTCAGGGAGGCTCACATGGAATCTTTTAAATGGGAACAAAGAAAAAAATGGGAAATAAGCTCACTCAAGAGCTATTAAAATGGTTTTTCAAAGCCAAGTTTCCAAAAATTGCCAGCCTAGAGGCTCTACAAGTCCCGTGATACCCAGCATTTCTAAAACCTTACTTCCAGCTCCAGACAATTAGTGAATGCTGAGAGTTCAGTTTCAAGAGAGTCACTGTGATCACCAGGAAGAGCTGGGGAAAAAAAAACATCAGCTCTTCAGAGATTTAAAACATGGGGCCAAAAGCCTTGAATATATCTGGGTGTCAATAGTTATGGAATAGGTTAACTTAATGATGGGGCAAGTCTTTAAGCCCACATGGAGATAATCACATCCCAGCAGAACCCCATCTGGCTGAATTAAACCATGCAAACATTGGGAAAACTTTGTAAGACTTAACTGACAACCTGGGCTGGCACATCCTGGGGACAAGTCACACTCATGGCATGTCGAAAGGACAAACATCAGCCCTGCAGTTACATTACTTTGACTCACCCTCCGATCTCCCCATTTCTTCTCCCTGACTCATGCCAGCAGTCATTCACCAGGGGACAAATTCAGCACGCTGGATCACACAGAAGGTTATGGCTTCATAGTAACATGAGCGTGTACCTTAAAAATATTACATCCTTCCAAACGCAACAAGTGTGGATCCGTTCTGTGCTTCCTTACAGCAAGTGCCCCACACAGCTGGCTGTGCTTTGCACATTGGGTCTGAGCAAGAAGCGCTGCAAACGTGCAAGAGAAAAAACTGTCTGCGAGCAAAGCATCCCCATCTGCACTCTTGTCAAGCGCTGACCCTTGCTGGGGACAGGAGCTCGCCTCTACCAGCAAGGAAGGAAGATGTCCAGGTGGCTGGAAAAGAAAAGAGTGGCATGGAGGGACCGAGGATGGGTTACCTGAAGTGCCAGCCACAGCAAAGGCAGAGGGAAGAGGGGAAAAGCAAACAACTCCCCACCCGAGCGTGCTTTCAACACCTTTTCCCCGTGCTGGCAGTTCTCTGGCAGGAGCGGAGCCTCTCGGGGCGGTGCACGCTGCAG